ACGTTAACATCAGCGTCAGCGTCAATAAATAAACAGCCTTGATTATCTGCGAAACTGATTCCATTTTTCGTAGAAGGCTAATTAGCAGTAAAATATATAAATGGTTCAATAAACATCAATCATAACAACCGGTGCTCGTAAAAGATGTTCCCATGTTCAGCCATTACGTTCGGCAAGGTGACGTCAAACACAAACGCCATCACTGTTTGGATCTGAACGACAATTATTGTTGGTTGGTCGCAGAAAGGGTTAACACATCCTGCCCTATCAGAAGTTCAGATGAAAACAACCACATAAGTAGACTAACGCTTAGTCTCTGAATATATATAATTTTGATAGTAAATTGAAAAGGAGGCCAAGGGAGACCAGAGAATCAGAGTGAGTGAGTTAAGATTTATAGTCACATCAGCAATATTTCAGCCATATCGTGACTTAAAACAAGTAATAATTCTAGAATACATAAAGGTAAATTATTATTTTTTTATGATTATAAACTAGTATGTAACTCTAAAACAGCTTAATTGCAGAAGACAATACAATATAAAAACAGGCTACATATTGCCAACAACTGAAGGTAGATCACCATACTAGGTACCATGGGGACTTACAGTACATTTGCTTCCTGCATGGACCCTAGCTGCATTTACACCATCCCTTCAGATGTCAGCAAGTATTGACACTCTAGCCATAAATTAAAATGACATATATACTGCGGTTAAAAAAGTAGTAAGTATAAATTTACTGTGAACGTTTTGGGACTTACGTACCCTCTCAGGAGGACAATAATTTTACAGTTCTTTAACCCCCGTTGAGGAACTGAGAACCAGAACCCGAACCCGAACCTGAGGAAATCTAGACTTGCTTCATTTAGGGCTTGGCAGTAGGTAAAGTATTGTGGTTCAGGGACTGTGAGACAGACTACCACTTCAGTGAAAGAAGAAAGTACTGAGAGGTACTGATTGAAAATTGAAAGAACTTTTGTTAAATTGAATTATATCTCTTTTGATCATGACTCATTTCTGAATCTGTTCATAAAAAAGCCATCTTTAGCCTCGTAATTTGGTGTGAAATTGAATTATCTCGGTGAAGACTATGGTAAGAAATCAATTCTGCAACCAGTTTTTGCTACCATATTTGAAAAGTTATATATGTGTTCCCGAGAATAGACACATTTAATGCTTTTGAAAGATAAGCTGTCTGTAATACCCATGAGCAATTCAGTGTTCTCATTATATAAAAACGAACTGTTTCAATTGAATTACATTTAAAAAATAAAACCGTGTAAAATTATTCCCTGAGTGCAGACTAAACGCATAAATTGGATTCATGGTGGTGTGTGTTGTGTGTTGTGTGTGTGTGTGTGGTGTGTGTTGTGTGTGGTGTGCACATAAATCTTGAAGTCCAAAGGTTAGGGGAAAATGCTCCCTAAGGAAAATCTTTCCGGGGAGTGGAGGGGGTTATTTTGTAATTGTGTATCTCATTGAATCCCCACCCACACTCACATGGCAATCATAATGTCTTTACTTGTAGGATATTCGCTGGTGGCTAACCCTTCAGGTATTCTACTTTTAATTTGAAATTACCTTGCAAAGATATACCGTTGATTACCAGATCCAGGTAATCATGATGTCATGATGTTTGGCGTGTTGTTCACGGGTCGAGTCTGTTTGCCTTTATATCGTGGTGTTATTGAGGGAGGGAAATCTAGATAATCTCCTGATAGGTGGATTTATACGGCTGTATCATATCCCTCGCTTCCTCCCCGCATTCTAACATCAATCACAGCTGTGATGACACATGCCTCGTTTCGCTGACGTTGCCATAGACATCTCGTCATGGCTCAACAAGGCGGGTCTGCTACATCATTCGTACTCTAGGCAGCATCCGTGAGTTTGTGGAATCTTCAGTGCCCCGTGTTTGGTTTGGTTGTCTCAAACAGGTTCGGACAGTTTGATATTTGCAAGGCTACACTGTAATAGTATGTTTGGGAGGTGGTTCTTTACATTACGAAAGGTGACGAATGTGTGTTAATCTCTCTTGATGAGAGACATCTGCAGCTCGGTGTTATTACCTGCCAGCTTCTTCATCATATGGTATTAAAGAGATTACCAATGATTTCCATCAGCAACATTAGTTTACAAACTTGTTAACTTTTTTCTTGGCAAGATTAAGTCTGTAATATCTTGTACAGTCTTGTTATGTCCGTTGTGTTTGGGCTCGGTTTATGGCAATTTATTCTGTCCTTATTTAGCATTCAATTGACGTACTCAAAACACCCTCCAAGGTGTTTGCTCTCGAGTAGGTGTCATAACAGATTTTCAGTGATTAATTCAAAATTTGCACAGCTGTATTGTTTTTACGGCCCATGGAATTAAGTTCGGCAGGTAATCCAGAGTGATTATTCTCTTTTCAAATAAATACTCTTAGAAGAAAAAATGAAATGCGCTCGTAAATATATTATAATTGAGAAAACGTTAATATGACACTGACTGATTGTCAGCCCTGCCCCCAAAATTAGATTTCATGAGCATTATTGCGTTCAATCGATCAAACGTAACCTTAACTCTCTGGCGTAGATAAACTATCCCTGCGAACACTTCATACATTATAGTGGTTTAAGTAAAACAACATTATTGTAATCTTAGATAGAGTATAAGAATGGTTAATTTGGTGAAATCTCTGTGAGAAAGAAATGGTGACAACCTTCAAATATATATTTGATAAAACTTGTGACATCCAAGAAAACTAGGAATAGTGACATCGATGAAATCCCATTTAAACAGAAATGTAGCCGTGAACGTTTGGAAGTACATTCAAATAGGAATTGTGAAATAGCTCTTTTGATGACACTACAGTGTGAATTATGACAAGTACCATTTATGGACGGTGCCAATACATGACAATTCTTTCAATAAATGGTGACACTAGCGTGATGACATTGATGCAGTCTCGAGGATGGTGACACTGATGACAAAAATGATAACCCTTAAAATCACAATAACTGACAAAATCACAATATCTGTTTGTTGTTTATCGCCGCGCTCAGCAATATTTCAGCTATATTGCGGCGGTCTGTAAATAATCGAGTCCGGACCAGACAATCCAGTGATCAACAGCATGACCATTGATCTACGCTACTGAGAAACGATAACATGTGTCAACCTAGTCAGCGAGTCTGACCATCCGATCCCGTTAGTCGCGTTTACGACAAGCATGGGTTGCTGAAGACAAACACATTAATGAACTAATCAAATGAAAAATTATAATCACACGCATGTAATATTGAAGGTGATGAAACTTCAGTCATATGTCAGGAATGATGATAATGATAACACATAGGTCAGGAATTGTGTTAATGGCTGATGCGCAATGATGAAAATGATGACCTATCAGTCAGTATAGACAATGATGACCTATCAGTCAGTATAGACAATGATGACCTATCAGTCAGTATACACAATGATGACTATCAGTCAGTATAGACAATGATGACCTATCAGTCAGTATAGACAATGATGACTATCAGTCAGTATAGACAATGATGACCTATCAGTCAGTATACACAATGATGACCTATCAGTCAGTATACACAATGATGACCTATCAGTCAGTATAGACAATGATGACCTATCAGTCAGTATAGACAATGATGACCTATCAGTCAGTAGACAATGATGACCTATCAGTCAGTATAGACAATGATGACCTATCAGTCAGTATAGACAATGATGACCTATCAGTCAGTAGACAATGATGACCTATCAGTCAGTATAGACAATGATGACCTATCAGTCAGTATAGACAATGATGACCTATCAGTCAGTATAGACAATGATGACTATCTGTCAGTATACACAATGATGACTATCAGTCAGTATACACAATGATGACCTATCAGTCAGTATACACAATGATATCCTATCAGTCAGTATAGACAATGATGACCTATCAGTCAGTATACACAATGATGACCTATCAGTCAGTATACACAATGATGACCTATCGGTCAGTATACACAATGATGACCTATCAGTCAGTATAGACAATGATGACCTATCAGTCAGTATAGACACTGATGACCTATCAGTCAGTATAGACAATGATGACCTATCAGTCAGTATAGACAATGATGACCTATCACTCAGTATACACAATGATGACCTATCAGTCAGTATAGACAATGATGACCTATCAGTCAGTATAGACAATGATGACCTATCAGTCAGTATAGACAATGATGACCTATCACTCAGTTAATGATTATTGTCAACAATGACACCTTAAAGAGGACATTTTAAGTCAATAAGGAACGGTTATATCAGTTCCATTGAAGTAGTTGATGATAAGTGTGCGAAATAGTTTCCAAATTTTGCTAGCCAGACAGGCTAGTTATGCTTGAAAGTTACTATCCCTAAAAATAATTCGCTAGTCCGAAATTTGAATGTAGATACTAAACAAAAGATTACATAACCTTGCATGATTTAATAAAAGTGCATTATAACTTAACAAGTCGGAGAAAGTGATATATTTACAAAATGACCCAATGTCAATTCACCAGATAGTCGGGCCAATGACTGTGGCGATTCACTGACCCGACTGGATTTTTACTAGTCACGGCTAGCGGGCCAGTGGCTATTTCGTACACTGAGAGAGATACATATTTGTTATATTAGGTATTGTGAACTATTTTACCCGTGTTGTTGTAATAAGGACAATTATACAACTTCATGGTCATTAGTGGATGATGACAGCTCGCCAGCACACACAGACGTACCTCAGCCACCGCGGTTTCAGGTAAAGATGCGCGTTCGCTGCATAGATGGATTCCGGGAGGTTGTATTCAAGTCTGCTCGTACCTGCGCTTGCTCCATCTGCCGGCGAAGCTAACATCACCAGGACCACAATTACCAAAACACACGATGGGACCAATTCGTATTTCAATATGTTGCAGGTAACATGCGAATGTATGGATACACTGATGCTTGCTCCATCTGTCACATCATCAGGACCACTCGATGTAGGATACACTGATGGCAGTCAGCTCGTGCCTATCCGTGGGCACGAAAGCACAGTGAGACAAAACGAAGCCTCGTTTGAAACATGTTGCAGGTGTCAATGAAACATTCCACTTTGCTGTAATCATAACCATGTCTTAAATACACCCAGGTTCGTGTTCTGTGGAATGGAAACACTTGTATGCTCCAGAATGATTAACATGTCACGCACTATGATGCTGGAATACACTTGGCCTTTGTCCTCACGGTAGTCATATCATCTATGTTTAAGTATGTGGTTCAAGTTGTGTTCTTTCGTATTGACACCAACGATGTTTAGAATATGAAAACGACATAGAACGTGACATATATTTCTCTTGGGCTTTGGGAATGCTTGGACTCTGTAAAATGTTATTAACTTTTCTTTGGCCAAAAAATAATCATTATTTCACTGTAGGAGTATGAGCAAAACAATGTTCGACGAGAATGTGATATTTATTGTGTGGCGTGAAAACAGTCCCTTTGAGAGCATGGAGGAAGATATATCTCAGTTGTGTGGCGAAATTAAGTATGCTAGACCCTTTACATCCCATATATCGCATAACAAAAGAGAAGTTGAATGACAAAGAAAAGTGCAACTTCTGTCAGACAGAATTTTGAAAAAACATTTTTGAAAGAATAAATATGATAGCCGAGACAAAACTTTAAGATCCCCGTCAATCATTCCAGATATTTGATATGCAGTCAGATATTTTCTCAGTTTGTTTTCGGGTTCATGTTCGGTTTAAATGAGAAAAAGTGCCAAACCAAATATCTGTGTTAAAAAAGTATTTATCTGAATAGAAATCCGCATTAATGTTTGAAGAAGGGGTGATACAGAATGAGATATTTGAGAATTCTTTGACTATTTTCAAGGTGAAATGGATATTTAGTGACTATGTTGCAAATCGTTGCACATTGTTAATCTCAGGTTTTCGTATCGTGTTTCAATGTACATTCCTGTTTACGTTAATAGTATTTCAAAGTGAGACTTGATTCCCATTCCACTCATATATATTTAAAGGTTAGCATAGGTTCCTGTTCCAGTTAGTGTCAGTGGTATTTGAAGGTGAGACTTGATCCGAATCCCAGTCAGTGGTATTTCGAGGTGAGGCTTTTATTCAAGTCCCAGTCAGTGGCATTTCAAGGTAAGGGTTTTATTCCAATCCCAGTCAGTGGTATTTCTAGGTGAGGCTTGATTCAAATCCCAGTCAGTGGTAATTCGAGGTGAGGCTTTTATTCCGATCACGGTGAGTGGTATTTCAAGGTGAGGCTTGATTCCAATCCCGGTCAGTGGTAATTCGAGGTGAAGCTTTTATTCCGGTCACAGTGAGTGGTATTTCAAGGTGAGGCTTGATTCCAATCCCAAACAGTAGTATTTCAAAGTGAGGCTAGGTAAATATCGTATGGCGTAGTATTCTAAAGCAACACTTGGTCACAATCCCAGTCGGCCTTGTTTCTGTTTAAAGTAAGGTTCCTTTGTCACTGTGATGGTTTGAAGGTGTGGTTTGGTCCCTATGTCAGACAGTATTGTTTCATGGTTTAGAGAGGTTCATGAGGGAAATCCTTCTATAAGCTATCAACGTATGTTTGTTCGGTGGGCAGCGGTATTGGCACCATCATCAGATATGTAACTTCCAGTGTCTGTAGTGTGCTGTGACATAATGTCTGGCTTGATGTTCATGGCCCTCATTATTGGCAGGTTACAAACATTGTTCATTAGCTATTTCCGCTATCTGGTGTTACTTGATTGCTGTTGTTTTATTCTTGGATCTGAATCACACTTCGATCAGCATGTGCTTTGCAAGTAGACGGGATCATTCCAGTCAGAATTCCTCCATCTGTGTGTCAAACAGGACAATTTCCTCCTGTGTGGATATTGACAAATTTATCTGTTTGTCTAGCCTTTGCATGTTTTTTGTTATGACGAGTGATACCCTTTATCAGCACTATTTGATGGTGATTCATAATCACATGCTCATGGTATAGTCTCTGCTCTTGACAAAGGTTTCTTGTGGATGTGGAAAGAGCTTGTCACTTTTATTTGATAGTTTGCCGACTTAGACGTGACTCAGAGCCAATGCTGTGCAGATGTAAAACATGTACATTTGTTTTCCTGACTTTTGTAAGATGAAAGTCTGGACAGAGAATTAATCAAGGATAATTTTCACAGAGATCAACCGTTTATGTTACGAAATCTATTACTTTGGAACATGAGTATAATTAACTGGTTAGTTAGGTTGATAAAAGCTAGTTAGTGTCATAAATACATCTGTCACATTCATGTCATCAATAACGTTATTGTCGTCAAAACATTTTGTTCAGGAAATAATTTGTCATCTGTTAGATGATTACACGTTTAATTTGCTAAAGACAGAAATGATACATACAAAACAAACGGCATCAATCTGATTTTTTGAAATTGCAGACGTAAAACATGGTATACTGTACGGTATTCTTGTTTGACACACTCATACAAACTAATACCACCCCCGTCACTGACTTCTTACATTTCCAAAACGTTGAAGTTCGGATGGAGACTCTTTATGAGCATCTGCTCGCGTCAAATACATTTAGTTACACGATATAGTGTTGACGAAGACAAGATTCGTGGTTCTAACTACCAGCTATGTACTTAAAATGTGAAATTGTGTTGTAAACGATTTGAAACAAATGAACAGAAATGAATATTCCTGACTAAATTATGCCCTCTCCTTGAGCGGATATGTCAGTATGAGGTTACACAACGTTATAAACAACCTGTGTCATCACTTTGGGCTTCCCTGCATTTTAAGGGAACACACGGAGTCCTTTCCACATCCATAAGGTGCTCAAAGCATAGTCGAAATGTATATAAACATGTGTGTATGAATTACCATATAGTGCATATAATAGTGACTTAAAGATGGCATTGAAGATGGAACAAAGATACGTTAAATCCCAATACAATGTTCTGCAAGAAACCAGTGTGTGAATACATTTCAGTTTTCATTTGACAGTGTCCTGCCAAGTATATCAAATTCTTATACTATCTTTAAGTAATGTGTGAAGATACCCATTGTACGTAAAAATCTAAAGGTTAAGGATATGGGCTAATCAGTACATAATCACTACTTTCTAATACATATCAAAATGATTCAAATGATTTATGACATAATACAAATGAATTAAGAAATGAAGAATGATTCAAGTCATGTATTGCATCTTGCGCATCAGTGAGCTGTTAAAGGCACTGGGTTATGTTCTGCTGGCAACCTGTTGTACGCATGTTCTGATAGAAATGTTCAAACAGATATAGGTGTACTTCGCGTGTCAGCATTCCTTTGATCATCTGAACACCAGCCACATCTAAAGCCACTCCTGCCATGAAGAGATCCCTTGCACCTAAAACAGATCAGTGGAGCTTATACCGCTAAGACATGCAACTCCAAATAACACCAGATAACTCTAAATTTCTACCAACAAAACAGACATTTTCACTGAGCTGTGTGCTATTTTGAGGCAAGGCTCTGATCAAATGGAATTGTAAACACAGTATAGTACATCACAAATTAGATTGGTGCTTGATTGACATGTGGATAAATTGTTGGATTCGTGTAGTGCTTTAGACCCCGCTACGATTGAGCAAGTAGAGTCCAATTTGTCAGACGATGTATACAGGTTCCAGCAGTGGTAATTAAGTGCGAGGACAACAATAGGTATCAAAGCTAAGGAGGCTGTCCACAGCAGACTTGGTGACGTATATATTTTCTTTGTGAGAATTAGGTTGGTGTTGTATTGGATGAAGTCACGGATCTGTGTTGCCGTTAGCATAGTCATTGACAACGGGTTTGATGAGAAATGTTATCCTTTCATACCTTTAATCCATTGTACCTGTTTTTGACGAGCTACACCTTTTAGAATATTCTCTTGTTTGAAATTATCACATGCCAACACATGCCAACAAAAATTGTTTGCTTCGTTCTGCTTGGCAACTATGATTCCTTGTCCCTTCACAATAGACATGATTGCATCCACTATGTGTAGAACTTGATTTTGAATGGTAGCGACTATGTATGGAAGGTGGGCTTTGATTACAACCTCTATGTGTGGAATGTGAGCTTTAAACAGTAGGGCGTATTCCAATTTATTTTCTCATAGGAGTAAACAATATACAACACCTCAATAGAAACATGTGAACATCTTCAGTAATCTCAACGATCTTTGCATGTAAATTTTTTAGCTTAAAATTATATCTGTCTCTTTAATAATTATTTCCTTGCAACATTGTTTCATTGTTCATGTGATGCCTGTGATTAAATTGGTGCATGGCCGGTGGCCATTATAGCTTTGTTGTGCGAATTCCCCCATAATTATCCTATTAAGCTATTTATTGTTAACATATCTATATATCAATATGTGAAAATAGATATGAGATATATCTATATATTTACCTATGTGGTAGTACATACCACATTTATTTATTGCAAATCATAGATATTTCTATTTATATGTGTGTATGTGTGTATGTTGTGAAGAGGTGCAATATTTTGAAGTGAAAAGAAATTATTTTTCTAACCCCTAGTGCGTCTTTCCATACAATGTGGATCGGTGTTTAATATCCAGTGAAAGAGACATTAGTTGCTTCAGATTGTAACTATTGGTCAAATTATTGATGTGACAAGTTCTGTTATGATCCTTTAGTATAAAATGTCATCAACTTTCCAACCATTTACAGATGACGAAGACAAAACGAGGTGATGAAATGTGCTGCTTTGCTTTAGTTCTGATATCTACACCTTATGTAAGGGTCTACTGAGAAATATTTTGAATAAAACATTGTCGTAAGGCAACACAACTCTTGTTTTTCTTTGCACGTATATTTCTACCATTGAAACATAGTCACTAAAATTCGATGTGTGTTGTACACCCTCTGCCTGGTTGAGAGTGTTACCTGCCGCTGTACCTATCTGCCTGGGCCTATATTTTCGAAGCTCTCTTAGCGCTAAGATAGTCGTAAGTGCCATACATTAACATCAACTTACGACTATCTTAGCGCTAAGAGAGCTTCGAAAATCTAGGCCCTGGTTTTGAGGAAGTTCTTGAAATGCATTTGAGGGTTAACTTCCGGAGTACCCATCGACCTGGTTGAGATGGTTAACTGATGCAGTACCCATCTGACTTGTTGAGAGGGTTAACTGCTGGAGAGCGGTTTGCTGGTAGAATGCCCATTTTTCCCATTCTGGGAGTTTAACTGTTTGAGTACCCATTTGGTAAGCCGAGAGGCATAACTGCTGGGGTAGCCATGTGCTTCAATGAATACCCTGACCGAGACCATTAATTACTCAAGAACCCATCTGACCTGACGGCTTAACAACTGAGGTACCCATCTGCCTTATTGAGAGGGTGATCTGCTGGCGTACCCTACTGTATCACTAAGGGTGACTTGGGGTTATCTAATGGAGACCCCACGAGCCAGTTTCAAAGAGTTAACCACTATCTGCTTGGCTTCGAGGCTTAGCTGTTTGAATACCCATTAGCCTCGGTGAAAGGGTTAACTGCTGGAGTAAGTTGCCTTCTTATTCTTGTCAACAGAATTGAATAAGTATCCTGTTTATATGTGAGGCAATGTATACACCTAGAACTCGCCATACATGAACATCAGACGTAATCATGATACAAAGTTATATACCATATATGGAGGTCTTGAAGATATACTCTCTTTCAAATAACCTTGAGTACCTTGGCATAAAAACATTTTTCTAAAAATAAAGAAAATATAAAATCAAAATCACAATAAAGTCAATTTATCACTGAGTTGAAAGAAATTTAAGATGTCTCAAACCTTATCTGCTATATATCGATATTTCTCAGTAATTTAGCAAACCTTACCCCTTTCTGATTAGTTTGTACTCTAAATACTAAATATTTGGACAGTTGAATTTTGATAATATTAAGCTTAAGAAACTTTATAAGTGCCCTTTATTTAAAAACAGTGCTTCCGTTTAACAACGTCATTAATTTTTAAAGCTCGATAAAATGGTAATGCAAGAGAAATTTGATATATGAAGTTTTTATCAAAGTATGTATTTGTGTTTGTGTGTCATGAACATTTTGTGAAGAATGCACAACTACTTTGAAGAATTTGCAGAAACACTGAAATTGTAATATGAATAAGATCGGCTCTCTTAATCAGCTCATAAACGTTGGACTACACGATGTTGAATCATCCTTTTAACCATTCATTTCAATTTAGATGCATATCGAATAAAGTAAGGATATGGACGGGTAGTATATTAAGGAAAACAGGAATAATGAAATGTATACATCATAAAAAACGAATACTATTTGTTTACATACTTGTGATGTAAATAATCCAGGGAGACGAAATAGTGCTGCAACTGCCAATGAAACATGCTACTCATGAATACACATATGAAGTAGGTTAGTGTTCTATGAACGTAAACAGGTGTATCTTTCAGAATGGTTTTCATATAATGCACAACGATGTAATGTTACATACATTTTCCTTCGGCAGATATATTATACTTGTTTAACTAGGTCGTCCAAGTTGTGTTTTTCTGTACTAATACCAAAGCTGTCAAGAACAAATAAAATAGAGCGTGACATATATTCCTCTTGGGATTTAGGAATGCTTGGACGTCCTTATTGCATTCTCAGAGTATGAGTAAAACAATGTCCGACTAGGATGTGATATTGGTTTGTTTAGCGTGGAAACAGTTCCCTTGAGAGTATGGAGGAAGATATATCTCAATTGAGTAGCAAAATTGACCATGCTGGACCCTCAACCTTCTACGGTCGACGACTTAACTACCATGAATATTGGAGAAAGGTCTTTGAATGGCAATTAGACGTGATACACAGAAGTAAAGAGAGTTTCATGGATGTCAACTTCTTTATCTATGAGGAACACAACGTACGGAGTATATCCTTACTCCTTCATCAGATGATTCAGTTGATGAACGAGTAAGGATATACTCCTAAACGTTGTGTTACTCATAATAAAGAAGTTGACATCCATGAAACTCTCTTTCTGATATTAGAGAAGTTGAATGGCAAAAGTGAAACTTTTGTTAGGAAGAATTTTCAAAATTCATTTTTTTCAGGAATAAATATAAACTCCAGACAAACCCGTCATTCTCTCCAGATATTTGATTTGTAGTCAAATGACTTCAAGGTTTGTCTTAAGGTTCATGTTCGTCTACGTTTTGTTGAAACAGAAAATAATTGCGAGACCAAATATCTATGCTAAGGATCCATGTTTTTATTCCAATCCCAGTCAGTGGTATTTCCAGGTGAGGCTTGATTCCAATCCCAGTCAGTGGTATTTCCTGGCGAGGCTTGTTTTCAATCCCAGTCAGTGGTAAATGAGAGGAGTGCCTCATCCCAATCTGCACTGAGGTCAGACTCCATTGTCACAGTTGTGGTTTAAAGGCGTGGTTTCGTAACCTATGTCAGTCAGTATTGTTTCAACGTTTAGAGACGTGCATGAGAAACATAATACTTCTACATGTACATACTATTTGGTGGACAATGGTACTGGCAACATCATCAGATGTGTAACATAGTGTGCTATGACACGCTCGTTTCGCTCGGTCTGCATGGCCGTCGTCATTGGCAAGTTACAAACATTCAGCTATCTCTGCTCTCTGGCGTCATCCGATTGCTGATAGTCTTGATTCTTGGATTTATTTAAACTCGAACTATTATTTTGAACTCTTATTGATTCTTACCTGTCCACGCAGTTTTAACAATGCTCTCACAGGCCCTTTTCACAAAGAGATCTTGATGTTGAACATGTTGCAATTTATGTGCATCAACACTGAACGGAAATTGAAGCCATAAAATCTTATGGAACATAAAATAATGTTAAATGTCAAATCGTATCTATTTCTCAAGGTCCTCTTTTCATATTTGCAATCCAAACATGCGTTAAGTGAAATGGCCCCTAATCATCAGCAAATGTATCTTTTCACACTTTGACTAGTTCTTGTATGTGCTTACGATACCTTATATCATCACGGTTTGATAGCGATTCATTATCACATGTTCATGATATGGTGAAACTCGACCCTGCTCTTGATATAGGTTTCTTGTTGATATGGAAAGGCTTGTCGCTTCTATTTGCTTGTTTGCTGACTTAAAGGAGTCGAAAGTTTGCAAATGTAAAACATGTACAGATATTTCAGTGACATTTGTAAGATTAAAGCCTGAACGGAGAAATCAATCAAATATCTTAAAACGGTTTTTCACAGATGATTATGACAGTTGTATAAGTGGGAGATGAATTAGGTTTATATTAAGAAATCTATTACTTTGTAACAAGAGCGTGATTAATTATGTCCTGGCTCATCGCAGGGCAGATAGTGCCATAAATAACTCTGTCACATTCCTGTTATCAATAGCTGGATTGTGTTCTCAAAACAGTCTGTTCAGGAAATAAGATGTCATATTTTCAAAGATTACACTGAAGTAGTTTCCAAGCATAGAAATGAAATATAAAAACCAATTAGCATCAATATCATCCTTTGAAATATTTTTGTTGAAAACACATGAAATACTGGGGTAGTTCTGAAGAAGCATGAAGCAATACCATTATGGGTCACACGTTCATGGATTATGCCTGTGATGCTGACTTAGTCCCACAGACAGGTGGGAGGATGTTATTGGCTAGTATTCGGGTTACTAGGAGGCGGGAATCTGGTAGAGCCACACTATAGTGTTGTTATTTGACTGACTGACTGACTGAGTTTGGCTTTTTCGCTGCTTTTAGCAATATTCCAGCAACATCATGGCGGGGAACACCAGAAATGGGCTTCACACATTGTACCCATGTGGGGATTCGAACCCGGGTCTTCGGCGTGACGAGCCAACGCTTTAACCACTAGGCTACCCCATCGCCCCTATTTGACACACTCATCCAAACTGTTTGTTTGTTTGTTTATTGCTTAATGCCGCATCAGCTATATTCCAGCAAACATGGTCGCGGTCTCTAAATATTCGAGTCAGACAATAAAGTGGTCAATAGCATGAGCATCGATCAACGCAATCGGGATACCATAACATGTGTCAGAGAACAACCCGTTAGTCGCCTCTTAGGACAAGCAAGGGTTGTTGAAGACCCTTTTTAATCCGTATCTTCATACAAACTAAAAAAACACTTGTCAATGATTTTTAACGTTTCCAAAAAGTTGGCCTCGTTATTTGCATCCCGTTTACAACTGTGACATCATGGTATATAGCTGAGGAAGACAAGGTTGCTGTTCAAACCTCGGCTATGTCCTATTGAGAGTTTCTAGGACTTTAGCCCTGCCCCGCTATATAAATTGACTCATTATTATTATCTTGCGCATCAGTGAGCTATCAACACCATTGGATCTTTCCAGCTAAAGACACGGTTATGTTGTACTGGCGACCTGTTGTACCCATGCTCTGATAGAAATGTTCAAACAGACATAGGTGTATTTTGTGTGTCAACATTCCTTTGATCATCTGAACTCCAGCCACATCTAAAGCCACTACTGCCATGAAGATAGATCATTTGCTCCTAAAACAAATCCATAACATAACTCCCAATTTCTAGCAACAAAACAGACATTTTCACTGAGCTGTGTGCTATTTTGAGGCAAGGCTCTGATCAAATGGAATTGTAACCACAATATAGTACATCACAAATTAGATTGGTGCTTGATTGACATGTGGATAAATTGTTGGATTCGTGTAGTGCTTTAGACCCCGCTATGATTGAGCATGTAGAGTCCAATTTGTCAGACGATGTATACAGGTTCCAGCAGTGGTAATTGAGAGCGAGGACAACAATAGGTATCAAAGC